ACAGAAGTGCATGTACTTCCTGCGGAGGATGAGGAGAGCACACCTGCCCCCCCCATCCTCCCCACCTTCTACAGAAGCACCATAGAGAGCGTTCTGAGCAGCTGTCTCACTGTGTGGTGTGGAGGCTGCAGCGCCTCAGACTGGAAGAAGCTGAGAACAGCAGAGAGGATCATTGGGGCTCCTCTTCCCTCCATTAAAGACATTTCATCCCAGCGCTGCGTGTCCCGAGCCCGTGACATCATCAATGACCCCTCGACCCCCCACCATGGACTGTTCACCCTGCTGCCCTCTGGGAAGAGGCTTCACAGCATTCAATGCAGGACCAGCAGGTTCTGCAGCAGCTTCTTCCCCACCGCCATCAGACTGATTAATGTGTTGTAAAATGGGGTATTGTATTTTCTTATATTATATTTTATCATTATATATATACATATATATATAAAAAATTTTAAAAACCCCAAAATGTTAGAGCTGTAAATTTACAGTCATATGTTTATATTACTGTTTTTATATATAATTTTTACTATTTTTCAAGGATGCACTTTTAAAAATAAAATGAAATTGTCCAGAGAGCTGTTCTAACCAAAATTTCTTTTTGTTTTACAATTTGTTTAGACAAAAGGACAAATAAATCTGTCTAAGTTCCCAAGAAATGTAAATCTGTGTCTGCGATTATCCTGCTAGGACTGGGAACTTCATTCCTCTGGGTATGAACATGTAGCTGTTCATTCATAGAAGTGGCATTGAAGAGGAAGAAGAAAAAATGCAGTTTTGCAGATCCAGCTTCTCCTGACTAAGAGCCGAGCAGAAAATTAAATATAAAAAGCCCAGCAGGTGGAAATACTTGGTTGGACTGTTTTAGCATTTAAGATAAAAAGAAGATAAAACCAAAACCATTTGATCTAAAAACTACTGATGGAGGCAAGAGGTGAAACATATGCTTCAACATGACAACATTCTGCTATATCTCCTTTTAATACACAGACACAGTTGCAGATACATCTCTGGACTAAGTCTGCATCCCTTCATCTCTGCTCTCCATCTTTTATGCATAAACACATATAAAATGTTGACAGCAAAACTCAAATGTAACCAAGTCAGACGGACCCAAACACAAACATTCAGTATAATAATAAAGCCAGGTAGCTGCCATGGAGAACAATGAATGCAAGTCTCACAGTTAGAAATGCTTTGCTGGGCTTTCTATCCATTCACTGTTCCAGATGTTAGATAGTAGCTTGATTTCCGACTCTCTTTCTTTTGATGAAATGACTACATATTTTCAGTGTTGGGATGCTGATATTTTGGAATTAAACATCTTTTTTAACTGCTCTCTGTCTTGAATCTTAATACGCTCTAGATACCGACATGCCAGCTGCAAGTGTAGGTTTAGGTTCCCTACTCCGCAAAGCTGTATACTCCTTCACTCTCTCTCTCTACTGAAACTGTTGATCAAATGTAAAAGTGTAAAATGTTTGAAAAAAAACAAACAAAAAATATAATTTACAATAATCTGTTTTTGTTGGATCCAAGTCTATTGATAAGATTGCAATTCAAGGAGAACAAGCTCCCGTCTTCCTTCAAAATAGGATCAATTCATCCTTTCTCATCCCTTTTATTCAAAACTAGCCATTTGACTTCTCACCAATTTATATATTTAATGTCTTACACAGTGGCGGTTCTAGACCAAATGTACCAGGGGGCCAGAAGGGGGCCAGCATGTTTTCATGGGGGCCCAGAAAAGCATGAAATGAAAAACAGAGCAAGGGTTTCAAATATATTAATATAGCTGCATGAAGTGAAATTTCTATTCAATTAGGTTCAATTAAAATTCTATGTCTTATTAGGTCAATATACATTCAGAATTTAGGAATTTCAAAAATTTGACTTAATTTAAGTTAAAATTACAATTTTTCTTAATAAAATCTGAATTAAAACTCAAGAAAAACTGATAAATTCAGCTGTAAAAAATTGTTAAAATTTGATTTGGAATAAAAAACATTTAGCAGATGAAAACTTGGATCCTATCACAATACCACTGAAGCTATCGCCTTATTGTTTTTAAATAATTAATGAAACAGAATTTATATTAAAAAGAAAAAAAAAAAAAGAAATAGATCCAAAGGACCTAACAGAAACCATGTCTGTTCCAGCGCATATCATCATTAGAATTTCTTTGAGTACAGTCTTTAGTACGGGGGTCATAACAGGGGCTAGGTCATGATCTACAGGGGTACTGGCCCCCGTTGGCCCCTGTCTAGAACCGTCCATGGTCTTACGGCTCATAAAGTAGACAAATAGTGTTACCCTGTAAGATTCTAGGTGTGGGATGATATGATGTGTCTTTTTTCATGTTTTAAAGGAGTTTAAATGTAAGGAGATGCAAAACAGAAGTTTAAACCATTACATTGGTACACATTTGATTTTGTATGTGACAATATATTTCGTATTATTTCTTATTTATCTGCCAGAACACAGCTCGGAAACAAATAATTCATTACCACACCCCTTTATTTAGAAATAAATAGTTGATCTTTTTGTTATACAGAACCAGTTTGCCTGTCAGATCATAAAGTCTGATAAAACTGTAAATTAGCCAAACCTTTTCTTATTCTTATATTCTGCACTCACCTGACCTCTCTATAAGCACGCAGATGTTGCCCTCTGGGGCGCCAGTGCCCAGACACCCCGACCATCCAGAGGAGGATGCTGAGCAGCACCACATCTGTATGCATGATGTCCACAATCCCAGCCTTCTCCTCCACGCCACTCAAGTCTGCAGCCTGCTCCACAGTCTGTCAGCACACAGCATGACTCGCTCTGAAAACATAGGAAGAATTTATACATAACATCAAGGTCTTTAATCTCTTAGGCGATGGGGATGCAGTTAGCCTGCAAATCTCTACGAGTCAAATGGCACGGATTTACTCAGTGCGCCCACTGGAGTCAGTAAAGCCACAGTACTTCCCACTTTGATCCTGATGGTGAGAGAGGAAGGGAATTTGATGATGGGGATCACAGGAGTGGTTTAACAGAGCCACTTGTTCGGCTATTTGTCATCCTCTTCCTCATCTTCTGTTAAAGCTGTGGGAACACCTGGATGCATTATTTTACTGTACTCACTCCATTAAAAAACCTGCAGATGGAGGAACTGGTCACCGCTTGCATGCCCCTCCCCCATTCATCTTTTCCAATCCTATTCAACTTGTCTTACACATGTATGGTGTCCCAGGCATTATGATCCATCATCACAGACACATAGAGGCATTGCTATGCTCCAGTTTGTTTCAATTAACACCAAGTGGTGTGTAGAATATTATGTAACAGTCTGATAATCCTATTGGCCACAGAAGGCCTATAAACTGTGGCAGGGTAATTCCACCAGGCTTTAAATTCTAACATCTTTCCCTCATCTACTCTGCACTATAAAAGAAAAAAAAATGACGTTGCTCCTTTTTTTTCCTCTTGTAAGTTGCAGAATATGTTGAAATATAAAATATATATACATATAAACATCTATCTATATAAATACCCATATAAACATCCTGTGCAATAACCCTATATAATAACCCTACTATAAAAAAGCTGTCAAATGTGGACGCACTGTATATACTGTATATATCCCATGCACTTTTCTCTTCCTTTGGCACCTTCTTCTTCTCCTCCTATGACTATTTGAGATGATGTAATGAGGTGATGAGTACATTTTTCCACCGTGAGATCAATTAAGTCAATCAATCAATCAATCAATCAATAATAATACAATGGAGCAAAGAGAGGGTCACCATAGTTGGGCTATATTTGAAATAAATCCAATGAAAATAAAGGTAGCTTTAAAAAAAGATTGTCAGAATTTTACCTTTTGAGTTTCAAAGTGAAGAAAGTGCATATTAAACACACAAACACACCCAGTTATAAGTTGGTTTAGGTCACTAGTTATCCACTGTCTGTGGAAAGGCATCTTACTTTCTGGTGTGGATGGTATTTTTCAAATGTAAATCAATTATTTTTATTCATCCTTTAAGTACTTTAAGTACTTAAGGAAGTAAATTTTTGTCTGAAATAGGCAAATGTTTGCCCCTTTGTGGTTTTTGTTTTTTTTTGGGACCTTCAAATGTTCACTTGTTCGTTCCATTACGATATGACGAATATGGTAGGAGAACACGGGATGTGTTCGATCTCAGAGGCTGCATCCTACGAGGACCCTCACTACTGGGTCCTTGAAGGTCTATGAAAATAAGGAGGCCAGAAGAGTTTGGCTATGGATTCAAACAGGTCCAGCCTTCTCCGGCACTCTGTTGCCTAGCAACCTTGACAGTTGACACACAAAGCAGGCAAAGAAAGGATGCCAACCTTCTCATTACTGTTCTTGGTGCTAATAACATTTTAGAGGACTTCTGCAGCAGTACCTCATCTCAGACATCAGATTTATAGTCCCCTCACTGCAGAGATATTGGAATATGTGCTTCAATGCCAGCCAAACCCATTTACACAGGGACACAGGAAAGAACCACAGAAATCTTTTAATAAGTAAAACTCTATCTGTCACATATCTGACTCAATAACCATTAAAACAACTATTTTCATTCATTCAGACAGAACCATTCACATACTTGGATTATAATAAACTGCACTTCCAATATTCACCACTGTTCGGTGCCATTTACCTTTTTTCACGGAGAATGGAGCAGCCGGCTTGCATGGCCTTGCAGAATCATGGGATACCTAAGGCTATGTAGGATACAGCAGACCCGTTATTCAAGAAGTGTAAAACGGGCCCGTTTATTCCGTCAGGGTCACAGTGGGGCTGATGCCTATGTCTGGCAGTCAATGAGCGAAAGGAAGTGTCTGTCGCAGGGCAACACAAAGAGATACAACACACAACCCAGTGCTTACTTTCTGATGAAAATTAAAAAGAGAGATCATATCTCTCCTATCCTGGCTTCTCTTCATTGGCTTCCTGTTAAATC